AGGAATGGGCTTGCCAGCGTGGATGCATGCGACATGAGCGCAGAGTTCTGGATGTTCCTTGGGAATGCGGCTTTGCTCTTTCCAGGGCTGCCGCCTTGCCACTTCTGGCAGCTGCAGGAAACTGGGGGGGGGGGGTGCACTGCAGACTGGCAAGGTTGCTTCCCAAACCAAAGCAGCTGCCAGATATCCCTGGCCTCTCAGTATGCACCTAGAGTGCAATTCTGCATGTTTTGCTCGGGGCGAGGTCCCACTGTGCTCAATGCGGCTTTCTCCCCGACGAGTTTGTACGGGATTGCGGCCCCGTGGTGCAAGGGCGCCGGAGCGCACCTGCTTCCGGGGAAGTGCGCGCAGGAGTGCAGCCATGCTGACCCCACGTGAGGCCATGCGTGGCGTGTGGCTCTCTGAGGAAGACACCTCTTTGCTCAGAAACGCGGCAAGCTGGAGACAGGCTTGGGCGGATCACGGCGCTGCACGTGCGTAATTAAAACTAAAGCCAGCCCAAGCTTGGCAAGCGAGACTCCCGATTTAGACAGACCGGCACCCACAAGCAAGGGGCGTGCCTTGCTCTTGCCAGGCTGCAGATCCGGCGGCCTCTGTAACATGCAGAGCAGGACGGGACCCCTGGCCCTGGCTTCATGCTTCGCGGGGGCTTCTGCCTGGCTGTCTGCTGAAGCTGCTTCCTAAGGCCTCTGGGAAATCCAGGTGGTACTGAGCCTCAAGATTTCCCAGAAGGCACAGAGCTGTCTCTGCAGGATGAGGGGGTGCCTCTGTGCAACTTTGCTGTGGCTGCTGAAGCCGTCAGTTCATTTCTGCCTCTCTGCCCCAGCAGGGAAATGGAGCCAGGGCTCGGGCACCACTGGGCCAGCACTGGCCCCCCACCTCCTCAGGATGCCCTCTTTGCTGCAGTCTGGGCGGGAAGATGGATTTCGGAGCAGATCCTTGCTGGAATGCACAGACTTTGGGACGGCGAGCTCCTGAAGAGGCTGGGAGAACGGGGCGCTCGATGCAGTGCAGCTGGCCGCTGGGGAGGCTTTCTGTGGGGCCCGGCTACGCAGACCTGCACAATGAGGGATTCCCGCTGCCCCACTGGCTAAAAGGGTCTGCCATGGACGGCCTGTGCCTGCTCTTCACTAGTTTTGCCTGGACTGGGGGCTGGGTTTCTGCAGGTTTGCTCTCAGCCTTTGCTGGATGTGGCCTCTCTCCCTGGCGCTACAGCCCAAATGCGCTCACCCACCCTTCCGTGGGGAGGATGCTGTCCCTGCATCACGCGGGCCGCCGTCCCCGGCACTGAGGGCCCTCTGGGCACCCTTGTGGCGGTCTGGCTTCCGCCGGACATGGGAATGAAGGCGATCGAAGGGTGCCCAGCGTCCCTTCCAGCTCAGCCCTTTCAGCGCTCCCGGCAAAGATTCACTGGGGGAGGCTGTGAGGAAACGAGAAACAGGACTGAATGCTGGGTGGCTTAAGCAAGCTCCGGGCCCCCCGTGAGCAAACTCCGCTTCCCTGGTGCACAGGCCGAGGCACCTGAGCAGGCGTTCGGGCTCAGAGAGCCAGCGGTCTCTCTCCCTTCCCCTTCTCTGTGCTGCACCCCGCAATGTCACAGGTTTTGGCTAGCAGCCCCTTAATCTGAGTCAAGATTTTCACATTCCCAACGCAGGTATCCCAGAACGCCAACAATCCACCCTGCTCAGAAACGAAATGGGGCATTGCAGGAACGAGGCTGGTTGCTTTTCGAGGGAGAACTGAAGATGCCAAACTCAGCATCTGAGTTGCTCAACGTCTTGTCACTGCACATTCGCGGAGCACCCCACCCCCAAAGGGCAGGCGCCCCGTCCTTCCAGAGTGACCATCTGCACAAAATTCGAATCCCAACACTTGTCCCTGGAATTCCAAATGTGGAAGTGTTCACATCTGCAAATGTGAACTCGTGTTCCCCACCCCCGTGTATTTTGATTCTCGTTTTAGGAGCCCATTTCTGAGATGGGCTGGGGAGAAGCCCCCACCTGAGCGACACCAACAACCACATTTCCTTCCACACAACTAAGACGGAACGCATTGCAGAGAAAGGGCGCCGCTTGGGCGCTCCCTGACCCCCTACCTTTCTATGCACGGGGATTGTACGTTTATATCTTTACGCAGATGCAAGCCTCCTGCTGTGACCCGTTGCCTGCCAGCTGAAGTAGCATGGTCCAGATCTGGGTGGAACTGCCTTCGTTCACCGCCATGCCACCCCGCATGGCTAAAACGGCAGCCAGGGCTCTTTCGTATTAAAAAAGGGCACCTGGCCACAGCAGGGATGCTGATCTCTCCTTCACCTTTGCCAGGGGTGGCTCAGGATGTTTTTCTGCTGGATGCTTCTTTGCCCTAGTCGTGGCCGCCTTAATTTAGATTCCGGGATAGTCAGGAAGGCGCAGGAACACAGGTGGGAAAAATACACTGCTTATTAAATGCCGTGATGAAACGGGAAGCGAATCATTGACAAAAGGAAGGAGATGTTTGCACCATGTCTTGGCCAGAGGCCTCTCCAATATGAGGACGTGTGCAGCTCATCTCTCTGTTTATTGGTATTCTGCAGCCACATTTCATCCCTGCACTCAGTAAAATGCACATTATTATTTTTATAAGTGTTCTGGGGACTTCCTGTTGTTCCTCGAATCTGAATCGAGACGGCTGAACCAAACGGTTCCTCCTGGCCATGCCACATACGGGAGCGGAGCAGGGTGGACTTGGGGTCGGATGTCCAACCTGGTGGCTGGGCCACGTTCCCCACTGTGCCGGAGGGCCACGGGCTGCCTTCGGAGGCTCGGGGCTGGCCACGGGGCACACGCGGCCCTGCCTGCTCCCTGCCCCGTGGCGCCTGCGCCCAAGGCCGCTTCCTCACTCAACCCAACGGCAGGGCCGGCTCTGCCTCTGCCTGAGCTGCCCATGTGCTGTCACTCGAAACGGTCGGTGACCAACCTGACCCATTTCCAGCTGGGCTAAGAGAAAACGGCCGTGTCGGTGGGAGAGGCTGAGCCGCCCTACCCCACCCAGACCCCTCCCCAGTTTTTGATATGAATAGAGATATGGAACCAGCGGAGTCCCACAGGGTTCTGGATTGGGGCCAATTCTTTGCAATGTTTTCCTAAGTGAACTGGGTTTAGGGATAAGCAGCGAGGTGGTCAAGTTTGCTGATGATGCTAAACTTTTTAGGGTGGTTAAATCCGAAAGGGATTGCGAGACGCTCCAACGGGACCTTCCCTAGTCCCCCATTTTACATCAAAATGGCACATGCAGTCCAATCCAAGCAGTGCATCTTGGGCAAAAACTCCCAGCTTCAGGTACCGACTGATGGGATCTGAGCTTGCAGTGCCTGAGCACGGAAGGGGTCTTGGGGCCGTGGTGGGTGCTTGATGAACATGCGGCCCACTGCTCAGCGGCCGTGAGGAAGGCGAACTCCACGCCAGGCTTAACTAGGAACGGGACAGAGAGCAGAACGGCTTGGCTGAGATCACACTTGGAATGCCGTGTTCAGGCCTGGTCGCCTTACCTGAAAAAGGACATCACTGAGTCGGAAAAAGTGCAGAGAAGGGCGACCAAACGGTTCGGGGGCTGGAGCGGCTCCTGGTGAAGAGCAGCTAAAACAACTGGGGCTGTTAGGAAATGGCGGGGAAAAGGATGCACAGAGTGGAGAAAAGGGAGATGAAGAAAAATATCTGTAGCACTTGAACCCGGGGTCATCCCATGAATCTTATGTGGGGGGGTAGGACAGACTTCTTCGCACAGTAAGCTATGGAACTTGCTGCCATGGGAAGCGGCGATGGCCAAGCTGAATGGCTTTGAAAAGGGACCGGGCCGATTCAGGGAGGAGGGGGCTCTTGGTGGCTGCCAGCCTTGCTGGCCATGGGCTCCCTCCTTCGCCAGAGGCGGCCTGCCTGCACGCACCCCTTGCTGAGGAGCTGGGCAGGGGGAGGCCTCGCACCCCTCCTGCGGGAGGGACCCTGCGGGCAGCTGGTTGGCCACTGTGCGTACGGAGCGCTGGACTGGACGGACTGCAGGGCTGACCCAGTGTGGCTTTTCCTGTGCTCTTACGAATGGGGCAGAAACACCAGTGAGGTTCTCCCCCTGGCCTGGAGAACCAGGCTCCGGTCATCAGACCCCTGCTATTCAGCAGCAACACCGTTATTTCCCGGTATGGATGAGTGTTCCGTGATGCGTGGCGAGCCGTCTTGGGAAAAGCAGCTCGTGCGTTTAAAAAATGAGCAAGAAGTGCTGTCGTGCCAGGCGTGCTGCCAGCCCAAGGACCTCCGTACCTTCTTTGCCAGAAACACACAAGGCCCACCCCGGCCCCGCTTTGACGTGAAAACGAGAATCCTCCTTCCTGGAGACTTGACTCATTCCACGTGGCTTTGTCTGTGGACGAAGCGATGATCCCAGGCCAATGTTCCTGAAGGTTTTACACAGCGAGAAAGGCCACGAGGAGGGAGATGGTGGCGGTGCCGGCAGCTGGACTCGGAGAGTTTTCAGCATCGAACAATTCCTGCCTGTGCGTTGCCTTTCAGCAGGGTTCGGTTGGCCATAGGCAAGATCAGTCCACGGCCATCCGAGCAGGGGGCCCCTGGGGGGTGTCCAAGCAGCCTTGCACAGTCGTTGCACGGTTGGAATCTGAGTCACACGTAGAAGGAAGGACAACTTCGAAACAAAAGAAACCCAGACCAAATCGCCTACAGAGTTGTATCCGGGGCTCTCTAGGAACTTGGTTATCAGCCGAAAGAGCAAAACATAGCAAAGCGAATGCACACGGAGCACAGGGGTGCAGGAGAGGCCAAGGGGGGGTCACCGCACCCGGCGGGGTGCAGCATCTGGGTTGTCCTGTATTCTTCTGGATTCCTTGCCCCCCTTTTTTAAAAATTGGTTTTTTGCTGGCCTGGGGTTACCGGATGACCAGATAGACTCCTCCTTTGCACCTTCGAGGTCACTTCCTGAAGAAAATGTTTGCAGGTCTCGCGATGTGTCCTGAGAAAAAGCCAGCGGGCACCCTTCCCCTCCTCACTGCATGGAGCCACGTGCATTGTAGAAGTCCGGGACCGGCAGGCCGGTGTGAAGCGTGACCTGCAACGAGGCATCACTGAGTGGGGCCTTTGCCCTGCGGCCCCTAACAGCCCACGACGGCCGACTCTGTGCACGCACAGAAAGCCAGACCTACATGCGCACACCCTTTGGAAAATAGGAGCACATGGTCAGATGCATCCAGAAGGCTCTGGATGTGCCATCAACTGGCAGGGATTCTATTAGAAACAGAAACAGAGCGAGCCAGAAGGGGTCTCCCGGGCCATCTAGTCTGACCTCCGACTCCAGCCGGCTCTGCTCACGACATGCCCACCATGTGCACGTCCAGCCTGTCCTTGAACACCCGCACCGATGGGGCCTCACCCACCTCCCGTGGAAGCCCATTCCACACCCTCGGGGTCCTGACTGTCAGGAAGTGCTTCCTGGCATCCAAATAGGACCTTGGACAAGAACCTTTTCTAAGAACCTTAGACAAGCACAGACGTTAAAATGCCTTCCAGACTTCCCTTATCTGGGGCCCACATGGCCCTAGATGCGCCAAGCTGGCTGAGAATTATGCGCGGCACGCCCAATGCACCTGGGGGGCAGCGGGTTGCAGACGGCTCACGGAGGCCACGAGCCCGCCCCAGGTTTCCCGTGCCCACTCCAGGCTTCGGCCCTTCCCTCCAGCGCCTCCCCACGCCGCCGCTCCTGCATGGCCCCCGTCCACGCTGTCGCAGCCCGTTCGCTCTCCCGGTGGCCCAGACCCCTTCCGGCTCCTTACTTGCACATTCCTGTTCAGACTGATGGCGGGGAAGAAGACACCCTGCAGGTTCTCGAAGGCCACCGGCCCCTGCTGGTCCTCGTTGATGGAGAAGGTCAGGGTCCTCCTGGTCAGGTCAAGCAAGATGCCCACGGTGGCCCCTTTGGTGATGCCTCCTTCGGTCCTGCCGGGAGAAAAAGCGCGTTGCCCCTCCGTGGCGCTCACGGGGGCACTCGGGGCCCTTTCTCCGGCCGTTTTGTCTTAGCAGCAGCTCTGCGCAGGAAGTCGCTCTGGGAAACACTGGCCATGGGGATTCTGGGCTGGAATTCTGATATGCAAATGCTAACCCGGACTGTAAGCCACCTCAAAGGAGAACCCCGGGTTGGTGCTTGGGTTGCAAACACTGGGTGATTGAAACCATGGGTTGTTACGGTTGAACCCAGAACCATGGGATGCCCATGGGTTGTTCCACCAGGCTTTAGAAGCGGTGTGCCAATGTGGTTTAAAAAAAAAAAGGTGGACATCGCCACAAAGGCATTTGGTACACATTTTGACGGGTGGCAAAGGAGAAAGGAGACTGAGAAAGCAAACCATGACTTGCTCAGCCATTTGCTAGAAAAATCCTGGGCAGAGCCAGAAATCACGGGTTGTGTGCAAACAGGCCAGGGCGCTTCACGGCCAAGTGGGGATTTGAACCCAGGTCTGCCCAGGCTTTGTCCAACACTCTGCACCACTCCCCCGCGCTGGTGGGTGAGAGGTCTGGCTGCAAACACGCTCGGCACATCTCCCTGACTGCCCTTCCCTTCTCGGGGAACCCACCACGTTCCCTGACGGACAGGTTGGAACCTGCACCGTGAATGTTCCAGGGACACTCTCCGGGGGGAGCCTCCTGAGAGACTTCCGACGCTCCGAGTCCAGCAGGATGCTTCTGGGCACATGTCCGTGGGAACATATGACACCCCGAAGCTGCAGGCGGGATTCAAAATGAACGAAGCCACCTTTACAGCCCGACAGGACTTGGGTACAGGAAACCAGAGTGAGCGCTCTCTTGGGCACATGCCAGGACAGAACTCTCCAAACATTCGGGGTGAGTGGGCACTTCTGGAACGATGAGACGGCGATGGGGGAATGGCACCAAATGGCCGCCATGGGGCGGAAGTGCCCCAGCACCAAACGGCAGCCGTGGGGCCTGAGTTCCAAAGCTACAAGCCTGGCTGCTCTTCTTCCCAGAAGGTGCTTGGTTGAGGCTGAGAGACACAGGCCTACGGGCATTCTGGGGAATATGGCCCCAGAAGATGTCAGCCTCCCAGTTAACTTTTCAAATTGCAACTCTTTAAAAATAAAACCGCAGCCAGAAAGGGCAGGGGGCCTGAAGGGACCCCCGCAGAGAGATGGCCTCCGCCACATGTCGCCCGGCCTCACTCGGCCACGGAGTACCTCTCTGTGTGCAGAAGCTCCCGGGCCGGCGCCAGAGCGAGACGGAGGAGCCGATCCGGGGCACGTACCTGCTGGTGTGCGAGTTGTTGTGCATGAACCAGCTGCGGTTGTTGTCCACGTACATGGCCCAGGCCTTGTCGTCCTTCCCCAGCATGACGTCCTTGAGCACGTCCACGCGGGCCACCCCGAAGGCCGGGTCCGGGTGGTTGTCGTAGCGGTCGATGGACAGCTCCCAGTAGTGCAGCCCTTTGGAGAAGCCCGTCTTGCCCAGCACGACGCGGTCGTCGTAGCTGTTGCAGGTGACGGTCAGGTTGTCGTTGGAGAAGATGATGTCGGCATGCGCGGTGCTGGGGTCGAAGGAGAACCAGGCCACTGCAAGACACGGGCGCGCCGGGCCGTGACCGTCGGGAAGGGCCGGGAACAGGGGGCGCGGGAGGGCCGCGGGCCGCCATGCAGCTCAGCCAAGCGCCATGCAAGACACTTTCACGGGGTGCCCCAACCCAAGGGGGGCACGGGAATGCTTGCTTCGGCAGAAGATGTCCGCAGAGCGGCCTGGCTAAAGGGTCTGGGGCCCCGGTGGACGGAACAGCCGGGCGGGGATGGGTCACTGCACTGCTCCCCGTGTGAAATGCATCACAGACGGGTGGCGAAAAGCAGTCCGTGTACCACGAGGACACGTGACGATCTGGGCAGAGATTCCTCTCTGGGTACGAGTGCTTTCCAAAGAGGGCTCCACACACAAACCCCACAGAAGCAGCCCAGGCTGTGTGTGCAGACCGAAGCTGGAAAGCGGACTGCATGTCCCTTTACCCACATTTCAAAGGACATCTGGGGATTCTGGCTCTCGGTCAACACCAACGTGCCCAAAGACAGCAAGAGGAAAAGACCATCTTTTGACCTGCAGGTGGGAAGTCTCCACTTAAGAGTTTTCAGAAATTCTGAGAGTTGACATGGAAAGGTGCACTGAATTTTAGATGTCGTCAATGCTTCTTTTAATCTAACAAGGCTTTGGGAGATGATGAGACGTAACGGTTCAGAATTGAAAACATGGCTGTAAAGTCCTGCTCTTCTGTGTGCATCTCTGACATGGCAAGATCATTCCATGCCACCTCTGGATTGCACAGTTGTAAATATTTTGCAGCATGGTCAGAGGGCTGCAGACATCCTGCATTTACCAGGAGCAAGGTCCGGCCTTCTCAGGATTTTAGGGATGCAACAGGTCCAGCTTTTCCAAACCAGGCACCGTGAATGAATCTGTGTTAGATATTCAGTAGCAGAGTGGAACTTGGTCATTGCCAGATAGGGTCTGGTATAGTCTGGTTTGCAAGTAATGGGGAGGACTTAACTCTTTCCTGCCCGGTCTCCCAGGTCTCTCTCAACTCTGGAGTGATGGCAACCAGAGGTATTCTTGGTTAGGGATTTGTGAGGAATCCAATAGGGGGGTGAATATGTAACAGCTTTTCACAATTCTGCCCCATAAGATTCTGGTTTGTCAGCCTGTCTCCAGCTTTGGCTTAAAGGACATGGCTTGTGGACATCTGTCTCTAAGGGAAGCCATGCCTGGCACATTTTTTTTAAAGTCCTGCTAGTTTTGTGAAACAGGCCAATTTGCACAAATCAGCCCTGGAAAAGCATGCGCTTTTCTGGTGCCAATTTAATGCAATTGGCTGATTTTACACAAATTCACTGAATTGCAGAAATCGCTGTGATGTGCACACATTTCCTTCTTTTTTTTTAAGTGCACGGGCCATGGCCCATGTGATGGAAGGATGTTTGTGAGAAAAAAAATGCCTTGGCCTGCTTGTGATCAGAAGCTAAGAGGATGTCTCTCGAGATCGCGCTAGCTGGACTTCCCAGCTCCGGGGCACCCCATTCCCAGGACTGTGGGCTGCATGTGGTCCCACTGCAGTGGCAAATTAGCAGGCCACAGGATGCCGAACTGGTCTGTGTCTATCTTGGTGGCCATTTCACTACATCCAAACTCCAACCACACGTCTTTGGCTCAGGTATGAAACATCAGCTCGACAACACGTAAAGGAAGCACACCTCTCTGACCCATGCATTACACAAACCTAGCAAAACACACACAACGCCTTTCTGCCCAGCTGGTCTGATGAGCCGACCTGCCGTTTCCCCCATGCGCCCGAGTGCTTCATACCTGCTACCAGTTTTTTGATATCAACTGTTCCATTCCAAGCGCAATGCATGTGGGAGGACAAATAAGAAGGAATTTACATACAGTGTCCAAAATCTCCTGTTGTGAGCATTATGACTTCTGCACAAAGATTCCTCTGCCAGCGGCAGCCTTTCCTTCCTCCACTGCCACCCAAGCCTGTACTTTGATTTAGTATTAGCAGAAATGCTGCATAATTGAACACGATATGCACCAATTCCCACACAGTAATACAGACAAGGAGGGAACCTCCGGGCAAGCAAAGGACCTTGATCTTTGGAGGGTGTTGTTTTTCCCAACAGAAACCAAGCAGGAACTCAACGTGCTTCCGCCTCCCTGTGCCCAGTCAGAAAGACAAACCAGGCCTTGAGGTCACTTATTCCAGCAGGGGAATCCAAGCTCGGTTTGCATCAAGGGCCGAGAGGGCCACCCTTTCCGCGCCCGGAGACGCCGACGTTCAGCTGTGATGCAACAGCTGCAGCTGGCCCCAGGCAGTCAAAACTCCCCGGAGGACCCGCTGGCCACCCTCTGCCCTTCAGTAGGACCCCTTTAATTGCAGCTGCTCATACGCTGTCCCTCGTCATGTTCCTGGAACTGTTTTGAACTATTATGATCTTGTTGATATTTGTACATAAATCACTCAGCAGGCACATTCCTAAGCAGCGTGTACAAACGACAGGACATTGGCGGGGGGGGGGGATGTACTCAGAGGGTCGAAGACAACTTGATGGCACCTCACAACAACATCACAACAGCAGCAAACTTAGAAAGCAGCCCTGTGGCTCCTAGACAGTGAGCAGGTGCCACCGGCGTGACAGGCCTTCTTCCACACACCTGCAGAGCCAGCTTCAAGCGCGGCCGGAGATATGAGTACGGGTCGGATCCCACCCATCCGTCCCCTTCTCTGCTGCTGCAGAAAATCCCTCTTATGCAGTCACAAATGTGGACTCCTAAGACAGGTTGGAGGGGGAGAAGAAAGGGGGCACACACAGCGTTGGGTGGCCTCACGGTTCCCCGCCGTGCCCACCAAAAGGCAGGCCCGCTGGAATGGTTCGGAGGGACTTCTGGCCGTTTTTGGAGATTCAGACGGCACGAGAGAGGTGAGGTCCTTTTGGCCTCCTCTGACATGGAATAGACAGAGTGTCTGTAAGTGCCAGATGGATAAGGATGGTGCTCGTAATGAATGAGGTTTTTTAATCCTTAACTCGGGAGTAAAGCGGGGAGCCAACTCTATGGCTCATGTGTCACCCTGAGCGACTTGACAGAAAGGTGGGATGTAAATACGAGACGTAACGGAATATTAGAAAAATCCACTTGGGGCCCAAGTTCTCCGCTGGACCTTCAGCAAATGCATCTCAGCAGAAAACCCTGCAGCTCGCTCAGGGCCGTCTGAACAGCATGAGGGGCCCCGGGCAAAGCAGTGTCCTGGGGCCCCAACGACAACTACAGCTGCTGTTAATTTTGGAAGTTTTCCAATTTTCCAAGGGTTAACATACAGCTGAGTATGGGGCCCATGGGCAAGTGCCCATCGGCCCATGCATTAAGACGGTCCTGAGCTCGCCTGAAGCCCAAGAAGCTTGAGTGGTGCTTTGCCTTGCTCATCTCACCCTGACTGGTCACCGTTCTTTTCCATCAGTGTGTAAAATTCTCCTTCCTTCCTTCCTTCCTTCCTTCCTTCCTTCCTTCCTTCCTTCCTTCCCGTGGATTTCGCGCTACAGACTAGTAATTGCAAACTGCCCACAGACCTGGATCCATGAGGGCCTTGCCTTGGCCGTCTTTGCTTCCTGATGGTACCGGCCTTTCCCTAGAATGCTCCTCGTCTCCCTCCGTAGCAGCTTCCCTGTCCAGACCTCTGTGGCCTCTTGCGCTCAGCTCTCCCTTGCGCCCCAGCTGCAGCGCCGGAGCCTTGCGCTCTCCGGCTGGGAGGTGCTGGCTTTGCAGCAGCTCGGCAGGGCCTCCCCGGCACGAAATGGCAGACCGGAAGCTCCATGCATGTGAAGGGAAGCCCGCCATTTACGTGAATGAGGGAGAGCGTGTGCTACCCGTGGGAAACCGAGCCCTGCACCCCTCACTGCATGAATTATTGGGGACTCAAGCTGAAAATTGCCTGTCTCGTTCTGAGATCGTTTTCTGAGGGACTTTTCTGCCCCACTGCCAAAGTTGTCACGCACAAGACAACAACAAACCAGAACAGACACCCTCTTGGACTGAACACTAGTCTTTTGCCGTTTTTGCAGATACAAACGAGAGAGTTAGGAGGGAAATAAGTGACCAGAACAAAGGGAACATCACTGAAGTCAAAGGAAAATACTTGCCTAATTGGGAGAAAGGTCCCGACTGAGCCTCGAAACCTATAAAGAGATACTGCATTTCACACGTCCGCACTAAGACACGGCAACCGGGCTCATGCATGACAGAAATGACGCAGAGACCCTTGCCGAGATGAGCTGCCGAATGAGACCACCAGATTCGCTCCAAAAGCAGCAGGCCTGCCATAAAAGTGGGGCCGTGTGCTCGCTGTGGGTTCGGGGGCCAGAAGGACCTTGCTGGGAGGGACCTGAGACGAATTAAAGAGCAAGTCACCAGTGCCAGATGCCTCTTTGGAAGACCACCAGCAGGCGAGCGGCGCAGTAACGTGCTGCGGCTTGTATTCTCCAGCAAGAGGTCTCAAAAGACACCCTGCCCTTCTTCTTGAGATGACGCACCAGGGCCCACCTCTGCCTCCTCCACGAATTTGTCCAGTTCAGCATGGGAGTGGCCCCGCTCCATCTCGTGGGAGCAGGCGCACCGTTGCTGTGCTGTGTGAAGGTTTCCCTTCGATCCGTTCTGCATCCCGCACCCACCAGCTTCATGAAATGGTCCTTCTGGGGTTCCCGATCATTTCGGTTGCCCTTTGCTGCAAATTTTCCAGCTGTCCGACACCCTTTCTGTACAGGTATTATTTTATTTTTGGTTCCTGTCTCAGAGATCCCCTCCCTGGAATTTCCCCTTCTCACAGCAGCAGCAGCTGGATCAGCGCTGGCATGGCCTTATCCGTCACAGCCCCGGATCTCCTTCTTAGCCAGTTACGGCCTGCTCAGAATTCACCAGTATCTACAGGAAGTTGGCTTCGTTTTGGGACCTCGTGGATCGCATTTGTTGCACAGGTCAACGTGCTGGAGCTCAAGGGAACCCGCTGGAACCAAGGGACAATTCAGGACCAACACAAGGACGCACTCCTTCACACAGACAGTGTGGTATAGTGGTTAGAGTGCTGAACTGGGACCCGGGAGTTTCGGGTTCTGGTTCTCCTTTGGCCATGAAGGTCATCAAGTGCCTTTTGGTCCGTCACTTCCTTTCTGCCTAACCTACCTTCCAAGGGTGATGTGAGAATTAAGTGGAATGTGTGTTTTCTGGCCCCTTGTAGTCATGGCAGGATAGAAATATTACAGGCTAAACACGATTAGTGTTGGGAGTTCTCAAGGTGAGAAGAAGGCCACTGTTTGGCAAGGCTTTTAGACAAATCCAGACGAGGGCTTGAACCCACAGCCGGCCACATAAATGGAACCAATGTGTTTAGAGGCATCATACACCAGAAAACCAGCTGCAGGGGGCATGAAAACCAGTGCAGGAAAGCTGGCAAAAGCTTGATTGCTAGGCTGGCCAGAAGCACCTGGCCATCACCTGCTGGAATGAGGATGATGGGCCTGATCCAGCCACAGGGTTCTCCTCATGATCTTAGCCCAGAACAAAGTTTTGCATACTGAGAATCTCAGCTGATACGGTGCATGAAACGGCACTCTTGAGAAATGCATCAGACTCAAAGGTACAACTCCTATTTTTTTCCTGCCCAGTTAAAGACACAGTAGGCATAATTTGGTATAATTTGTGACTGTCATTTTGCTGGCAGAATTTTACATGTGGACGCAAGAAAAGCACACGGCCTTGTTGAACCCGGGTGCAGCAGAGGCCTTTAAATGAAGCCGGACTTGCGTCAACTTGGGGAATCGGAAACTCTGCAGTTTGGGTGTTCGCCCGTCCTACAACTTCTCCATAAACATTCCCAAAAGAAGCAAAAGACACCCGTTTAAGCATGAGCCTCCAATCCCCCCCCCCCCACACACACAACCCGCATTTCCAGCCAAAGAGCAGGATAGCGCAAAGATACGAACTCCACACACAGGAAGCAGGCCGAGCGATAACTCCGCATACACGGGACAAGAGATCGAAACGTTTGGGAACGGAACATGTCAGAAGCCAGTTGCACAAAAACAGTGAGATGTGAAATCCATGAAACACAACAGGGATAATATAAAAGGAGAGCCCAGCGCAGGCCTCGAGTAGCCCAGCAACTTAAAGGTTGTGACATTCCTTGTTCCTCATCAAGGGGTGGGAAGGGGGGAAATCTGCTGGGGTTGTTCTCCGGAAGCCCCGGCTGGTGTCAGGCAGAGGCCAAGGGCAAAACCTTTGTGGGTGGGAAGTACTGTGAAAATGAGCGAGGGGAAGAACTGCCAGAGCTGAGGGTACCCGAGCCAGGGGGGCTGCTGTGCCCCGAAGCCCGGCTGTTGGCCGTGGAGGGTGCCAGTTCCGGGAGGAGGCAAAAAGCTGCAGTTTCAGTCCGGAGTGCAGAACCGCCTTCTAGAATAGCCCTTCCCAAACTGGCACCCTCCCGCTGTGCTGGAGTGCAGGTCTCATCATCCACAGCTGGGATGGCCAAGGATGGGAGCACACTTGGAGGGTCCCACACGGCAGCATTTCCAGCCTTCCTGCCCGGTGGCCACCCTGGCTGGCAGAGCCCGGCGGGCGGTGGGGGTGGGGGGGAATCAGAGGCGGCGATCTGCTGATGGTGGACACCGGAGTTGGGGGGAGACTGCCTTGGGGCAGCAGGACTATCCTCCTCAGCCTTCCCAACCTGGTGGCCACCTGATGCTGTGCAGGGGATGATGGGAGATGCAGTCCCACGCATCTGGCAGGAACCAAGCGGGCCAAAGCGGGTTGGGCGTTCAGCAGAGGCAAGCCCCTGAAATGCAGCTCGTTAGGACTCTAGCGTAGGTTTTGGGGGACAGAGCGCCCGGCAGAATGATCTGGCTGCAAACATTTGCAAACCATCACTGTGAACTACAACTGGTTGACCAAAATGGAGCATTCAGATGTCTTGTTAACCAGGCTGTGCTCTGGAACGGGCAGGATACGCGTGCGTGGGGAGGGAAGCAATACACACAGGGAGAATTGAGCCCAAGGGGTTCTCTCCATCATCCAAGTACAGCTACAACAGGGGAGGGGAGGACACCCGATCTGAGGCTATGGGGGATGCCTTGTTGCCCTGTCCGGGAGGGTGGCTACACCCCCTTGATGTCAAGAGGCGTTTCATTTGGTTTCCAAAAGCCGTGTCGAGGGAATCCCGGTGTGTCCACTGGGAACTGGCTCCACAGGGTTTGGGGTCTGTCTTATTTGGAAGCCGATTTGGGACAGGGGATGCTGCCCAACTGATAGGCTGTCCAGGGGAGATATCCTAATGGGCAGCTATCATACAGACAAGCCCCCTGCTCATATCCCCCGCATTTCTATCTGATCTGTGCAGCCTGACTTCCTCCAGGGAGGAATAGTCGAAGGCTCCATGATCTTCTAAATGCCATTTTGATTTTTGCAGGGACCGGATCTTGGCTAGGTGGGAGGCGAACCCACAACCCATGGGCCCACGGCCGCAACGCAGGGGGGTCAACAGCAGCTCTCTGGGGCTGCCTCATCTGCGTGGTTCGGCCACCCACAAACCCACGAGACAGAAACACACACGCCAAACGTCCACGCCCCGGCTCTTCCTTCCCCGCAGAATGCAAGCCACCAACAACACAGAGCGCCTCGTCCCATCTCACACACGGGTGCCACGGGCAGCCGGGGGGGGGAGCGAGGGGGCCAAACAAGGACGACTCCAGAGGGGAAGCGAGAGCAAGACCAGGCACGGAGGAAGAGCGGATGCTGCACGAAGAAGCGCAGCCGCAGAGGCCCGCCGGGCGTGCGGAGCTCACCCACCGGCTGAATTGAGGGATTGCAAGGAGGAGTGCAAGCTCATTTGGTGGGCCGAGGATCTGAGCTCAAAGTAGGATCTGCCCGGAAAGCTGTTCTGCAGGTTTAGGGTGGAGGAGAAGGGGCTCACTCTGCGCAGCTGCAGCCTTTCCAGGGGCACCGGGATTGTCAGGGCTTGCTCCTCCGGCTCGGAGTCTAGATGCAAGATGGAGGCAAACGCAGGGTCAGAGTCCCGGTCGGTCGCGGGCCGTTACCTGGGCGCCAAGGCAGGGCCCTCCTCTCCCGCGTGGCCCCCGGAACGGATCCCTGCACTTCCCGAGCCTTCGGTGAACGGGCCCGTCCGATGCTGCCAAACGGGGGAGGCAGCGACTGGGATGCGGTTCTCCCCCCTTCCCCCCTAAGTGGCTCCCCCCCGTCTCACTCCAGGATTTGGCCAAAGGAGCAGAAGAGCGTTTGGGGTGGAAGAATGAACAGCAGGGCACGACGGTTTTAGCCATCACCGGTTCAAATGCCTCGTGCGCCTGCATCTTTTTCCTCTGTTCTGGGGGCAGAGTCTTCTCGTCCACCGACTCTGTGCACCCTCGCTTTGCTCACAGACACACCCCACAAAAGGCAGCTGATTCTGATTCTGGGCGGCCAGAGACGTTTGCCCCTGCAGGGATCTCCCCTGGCCACCAGGGGGAGCTCAGACCAGCCCCGTTGTTTGACCCCGCAACCTTCTAGTCCTTGGTGTGCAGAAGGGGAGGTCATGGTTGGCGGAGTGCCAATCTTGAGCCATGCCCTGGGTCACAGGTACCCAGGCAAGATGAATGCCCCTCACCCATCCTTCCGCAAAAGGTAGCCAGTCACGCTCAACCCAGACTGAGATCACAGCAGCAGCGCATTTGCGATCTGGAGTGGTCATGGTACTGCATTTTTGGCAAGCCCGTGGGCTGCCCATTTCAAAACCATTTCCTCCTAGAAGACATTCATTTTTCTTCCCCCGCCTTGCTGACCAGGACTCAGTTTGTTGTCCACGCGTCTTTGCTCCCTGGAAGGGGTTTTTCCTCTTCCCTCCCCATCTACCTTTCCTTTTGTATCATGCCTTTCTAAATCATGAGCCTATGGCAGGGGCTGCCTTTTCTGCTGACTGAGTGGGAGCTGCAGGGGGAGCCTCAGGGGGCTGCGAAGGGGGGCTAAAACGGCTTCATATAAATGATGCATAAGTCAGATGCAAGGAGCATTCAGCTCAGATCCTGACGCCCTCCACCCGCCCTTCTTCTTCCCTGCATGCCTGTCTCAGTCGCCCTGGGTGTGACTTTATTCCTGCAGGACTGGCCTGGGCACCCAGATTCCAGCTGCATCTACTCAGGATGCTGCCACCTGGGGTGGGGGGGGGGTGCCTTCCAGCAGCATCTCTGCCTGCTCAGTACCTTTCCACCCAGCTGCTTCCCTGCACAAAACTCGCCCCTCCTCCGGGACGAAAAAAAGATAACAACTCCCACTGGCGCCAAGAGAAGCTGTTTTCTTCAGTGGCATCGTCTATCCTAGCCTCCTTAGTGAGGAAGGGGTTAAAGGAATGGGGGAAGAGGCTAGTGGGGCAGAGGTAAACCTCCCCTCTCTGTGCCCAGCAGACCCAACCTGGATCACGCTTACTCCCAGGCAAGCCCACGCCGCAGCTGTGCTTGGGCTCGGCGGTGGGGCAGGACCGGCCCTCTGGCAGGAGCAGCCCGGTGGCCCCTGGAGTGGCCCGTGGGACCAGCGTGCCCTGGCGGGAAGGGCCCCGTGCTTCTTGCGGCTGCTCCTCTCTGTGAATCCCAGGGCTCCCCCCGCAGCCCCGGCCTCTCGCAGCGCCCTGGAGCGAGGCAATCCTTCTCGTCCCGTGTTATGCTTCCTGTACATCGTTTCACCCCTCCCACAATCCACCAGGAGTGGGCCACTTGGCCTGTGGCCCACCCGCCTTGCTCCAAGGGGTCCTAGGACCTCTTGCCAGCCTTGCACGGAACGGTTGCTATATACGAGGGGGACCCAAAAGAACCGGAATCCTTCTCTGGTGCGTGAGCTCGTTGCAGGACATCCTTCCAATGCTAGACGTCTAGCGGGGACCTTCTGCATCAGGCTGCCGAGCGATGTCATTGCACGAAGTCGTGGTGCCACGTAGTGAAAACAGCCATCGCAAAAATCAACGTACAAGCGAGAGGCACTCATCAAAAAAATTTCTAGCATGTGCCACAACGGGCTCACCCACCAGAGAACGATTCCGGTTTCTCTTGGGTCCCTTCGGCTGAAGCAGCCTCTCAGCCTGGTACTTTCTACATGTGCTGGACTAAAACTCCCATGACCTCTCCTGGGGATTAGGGGAGATGCGATTGCATGTGGAGGGCACCAGGTTGGGGAAGGCTGAGCTATGACTAGAGAACAAAGGTGGGACCCCCCCCCCCCCCGCAACATTTCTGAGTCTGGAAAATGTTTCATGATGCTGAGCAGCTCTTAAAACTCTTCTGTTTATTACGAATTTGTATCACATGTTTGGTTGTCAGTAGTTCATTCAAGAGTATTCTCCTTTCCACGCCTGCAGGATGCCTAATTTTATTTCTGCTTGGTAAAAGATAAATTTTATGTCTATTCACTCACTCATTTCACAGTACAAGTTGCTGAGTGGCCCTGGTCCATATTTTTGTGAGTTGCACAGAAGCAAACAGGACAAAAGTCATGCTAAGAATTTTTCCCGGAACATTCTTCGTGGTATTTTGAGGAGATGCTATTGTTCATAAATCAGGAGATTCAGAATAGGGAATATTAATTCGGGGCACAGTCCTATGCTCCAGCAGTCCCCAGCTGAATTCTGGGAATTGCAGGAATTTTTTCCAGATGCGGGATGCTGGGAGCTGCAGGATATATTTTATTTTATTTTATTTTTTGCCTAGACATTGTGCCCAGAGTCTTTTAGTTATTATCTAGAAAAGGGGAAGCACGGATGTCCTTTTAAATCCTGGCCTTAAAGTTGGTTGTCTTTAAGGCTTTTTGGTACCCCTGTCCATTGCTTCTGCCCTCTCCCCTCACTCCCACCAACACTGTTATTAAGCACTCGCCAACAAAGTCTGCATTTCTGATCTGTTAGGGCAAAATAAAACATTTAAATCATGGCCCCATCCTGACACCAGGTATAGAATGCAGTTTGCTGCTGGTCTCTTGATACCCAAGCCCCATTTAGTTGCAGAAAAAGAGGGTATATTTTAAGAGCAACCATCATAAAATGAGCACTTGAGGGGGCTTCCCAGGGACTGTCCCCTAAGTATAAATATTTAAGAAGATGGCTAGGGGATGCCTGTGGTAGCGAAGGGGCTGATGGGCACCTTTGTCCACGTGGGCTCATGAGTGCCCCTGCTTTCCAGGTGGCCGTTTCGTATCCCGCTGGACGAAAAGCTCAGGCCCTCAGTCCCAATGTCCGTCCCAAGATGCATCAGTGAGTGGACAGAGAGCGGACTAAAGAGGCAGGGACAGCTGGGTTCCACCCAGGAAAAGTCAGCTAAGGAAAGTGAGGTGTGCAACACACCTGGAGAAGGGGAGCAGAAAGAAGAGAGGCAGCGCAAGGTGTGTCTCTCCCATCCTTCCCAGGTGTGGGCTTGTTCGGAGAGCGGACCCCAGTTTGGCTAACCCTAACCGCAGCAAAACTGGCCACGCTCGGAGGCCCCTCCCAGAAACCCACGGCGTGGGCGGCCTGAGGAAACGCCTCGCCGCTGGGCCGAGGCGCGTCGGCATCGCTCCAACTCACCCTCGGAGGTCTGCAGGACCAGCGTCTTGCTGTACAAGCTCATGCCGGTCTTGTTGAAGGCCTTGACGCGGGCGCTGTAGGTGCTGTTGAAGTGCAGCCCGTCCACCGTGCACATGGTCTCCTTGCCCACGTACACCTCCTGAAGGCCAAGCACAGGAGAACGGCTTACCCACAGTCGGGGCCCTTCGGCCGGCCGGGAAGGGCCTCCGGACGCCGCCTGAGCACTGGGGCCTCCAGCCGGCATTGGCAGCGTGGGCCGGAAGCGACGGCTTGCCCGGATTTTGCACAGGTTGTTCTGCAGCCCTACCCGGGAAGCTGGGGAACCCACCCGGGCCCCCTCATGCAAAGCTGGGCCTCTGCCACTGAGCCAAGGTCCTTCCTCCTGCCATCTCTAACTTGGATCATCACCGTCCTCATTCTCGTCCTCCTCCTCAATTCCTGTTCTGTACTTCCCAGCGCCCAAAGCACCCTGGCTGATTTACAACCAGCTACCAGTGACCTATTTTATTTTATTTTATTTTATTTTATTTTATAAGTTTTTATATACTGCCCCAATACTAAACGTCTCTGGACAGCTGCGCTTCCACATACTGGCAGTTCCTCCAGTTGGAGATGCTGCAGGTGGGGCTCCGGACAAGCCCCGCCGCTGAGCCTGGGCAGCATTCACTGCGTCGGTGGCTCAGGCATCCCGTGGGCTGAGCCAGGAGGTCTTTGTGCGAAACAGCCGTTCAGCCAGAGAAAGTCACCAGGTGGCCAGACCTGTTCCCGGGTCACCACTGCTGGAGAGCAAACACCTTCCGCTATGCAGGGTCTATCTAGTCACCAAGGAAGATTCTGAAAAGGCTCAATGTGCCAGCAGCCCACACGGCTGATTTTTCGGGGACACCTTGGAAACTCAGCTTCGCTTCTGGGAGACAAGCCCATTCGCACACACGTCCACACGCACAGCGCTCGCTCGCCCCCAAGCACGCCAGCGGCAGCTGTTCATGTTCTTGCAGCAAAGCATGTGTTCCGTGTTGCCGAAGGCACGGAAGCCCCTCCTGATGCAGCCGCCCCAAAAAGAGGGTGGAAAAATGCGTTAGGAGCAAGCTGTATTGTTCCTGGCCGAGAAGTCTTGTTCCTAGAACATCCCAGGGCAAGCTAGGAAGGCGGCGGGAAGCATTGAACAAGGTTTCTCCAGCGAAGGTCCTAGCACCTGTTCCTAGAACAGTTCCCCTCCATCCCCTTTTATTTATTATTTATTTATTTATTTTCCGATTTATATCCTGCTTTTTTCCTCAAAGGGCTCAAGGCAGCTTACATCCTCCTCCTCCTCCATCTTATCCCCACAACAACAACCCTGTGAGGTAGGCCGGGCTGAGAGCCTGTGGCTGGCCCAGAGTCACCCAGTCGGCTCCATGGCTGAGCGGGGACTCGAACCCAGATCTCCTGAGTCCCAGTCCCACGCTCTTAACCTCTGCGCCACACTGGCTCTTTTCTTCTGGGAGTGACAGTGGGACCAGCTGCCCGGAGAGGTGGGGGGCTCTCCCACCCTGGAGACATTCAGGGGGAAACTGGACAGACCCCTGAGTCGGATGGTGTAAACTGGTGGCCTGCAACAGCAGGGGGTGGACTGGATGGCCTTCCTGGCCCCTTCCAACGCTACTGTTCTATGATTCATGAGATGCCAGGAGACTGAGGGCCACCAGGCTTGGCTAGTTGTCTGTGGCACATGGGCCACACCGTTTGCACCTCTGTCGGAACGGCTGCCCCTGGAAATTGTGCGACTTGCAGAAATGAGCTATGAAGCGGGGCTCCTTCATACCTAGCGGACAGATAGATGCTCACCAGCCTTGCCAATATTTTAGACTGGCCCCCACGAGAGAATCACGACCCCTGTGCCCCCGTGGTCTTCCACAGATGCGCTCCTGTATCCCAGACCAGCGCCTGCACCTTCGTGTGTGCAGAGCCTCAATCCCAGCCCGTCAGACTCACCCTGAACTGACCGCCATTCCCATCATCCAGCTCCAGGATGTAGCCTTCCACTTGCACCGTGGAGAGAGGGGGCTGCTTCCAGGAGAGCGTCGCGCTGTTGTTGTGGGTGCAACAGTCTTCCAGCTGAAGGATTGGGGCCGCTGGCACTGGGGAAGGAGCTAAACAGAAATTAGTGTAACCCTGGCTTCCGCCACAAGCCACAGAGGAAAAGCAGCCGCTCGCGTGGCCCCATCTTTGGTGAGCGGGGGAACTGGCTCAGCACAGGGGCGAGGAGCCGGGCGGCTCACAGGGCCTTGCAAATAACACCGATTCTGCCTGCTCACCTTGACTGCCTGTTTGCTTCCAATCCCACTTCAAGGTGCTGCATTTAATGGCTAACGCCTTACATAATTTGGGGCCTCGATACCTCACAGGTGCCTCTCCAGGATGAACCTGCCCAGCCACTGGGAACGACCGCTGAGGCCCTCTGAGTGCTGGGAGGATGGGAGCGAAAGCAGGGCCTTCCTGCTGGTGGCCCCGACTGCAGAGCGCTCTCCCCAGTGAGGCTGGCCTGGTGCCCACACTGCCGCCTTTTGGTTTCAGGTTAAGGCTTTCCACTGATCCCTATTTATACAGCTGTATTTATATTGTGTTTTAATTTTCTTGTGTTTTATGGTTTGTTTGTTATTTATTTTTATCTGTTTTTAAATATATTTATATTGCACTGTGAGCCACCCAGAGAGCCTCTGGCTATGGGATGAGATACAAATGCGATAGATAGATAGATAGGGCATGTAATTGACTTCTTAATTTAATTGTTTTAACACACCTTGGTATTCTAATGTTGCTTTTAGCTGTTTTAAATAGTTTTTACGTTTGGGGCTGCATTGACCCCTGTTGTGGAAAACCCCAGGCCTTTTTCTGAGAAAAGCATCTAATGCAGTTCATTAAAAATGGTCTCGCTACCGAACAGCCACTGAAATTCCCTCGCGCTGGACTGCTCTGCAGCTACTCTGCTCGAGGGCTGGCGTGCTTGGAAGATGCCGTAAGGGAGCAGCGCCAGGCGAGCGAAGAGGCCGCCTCGCTGGCTTGCTCCCTGTGCTTCAGTCTCAGCTCAGCCAAGGTCTTTCATCTCTCCTGAGCCCCCGCAGAAACTCTGAAGCCTTTATTCCTGTCCAAGCCAAGAGAACAAGTTAAAACTCTGTATTTTACCCGAGGAGCAGATGGAGAGATTTTCTCTCCCTGCCCTTCTCATGATGCTCTGATTCAGATTTGAATGGATCAGGCTTTTAAAATCCGACTATTGCTGCAAATTTCACCTGCAAACTGGCTGGAAAACTTCCTCGAGGCTCAGGAAGTGCAGTTCTGCTGTGAGGCGACTTGAGGTCAGACCCACACAGCAAGACTGCGAGTCCCAGCCAGGCAGGGGGACTTGGCAGAGGCCCCGTGCACTGCAGAGCAATGCCTCCTGGCGGACCCCCAGACACCTGTGCTTTGCGAGGCTGCGGTGAGCCCGAGGGGCAGGCGGAGTGCCTGGGGGGCCTTTGCAGTCCCTGCTCCACCGCCTCCTGGCTGGGCGGAAGTGCGTGCGGCGGAGCTGGCAGCGAGGAAGAGGCACGACTCAGGCGAGGGGACGGCCCGTGCCAGCTGCGTGTGGGCAGAGGCTCGAGCCCTGACGCAGAGCAGTCGCCCTGTTCTGTTCTGCGCTGGTCTGATTTCCCCTGGCCTCTGTCAAAGCGCTCACGGCTGAGCGCCGGTAATTGCAGCTCACGAGCACGGAAAAGGCGGCTTTGCCCCACCCGGCACCATCCGGATGTCCTGCTCCCATCAGCCACGGCCAGAGTGGCGAGCGGCGATGCCCGGGCATCGCCTGCTCTCTGTCTTCACAGGGCGGCCAAGCGCCCCTCCACCCAGGCCTGCCCTCCTCAGTGGAGAAGGCCAAGGACGGGGGAGCGCATGCAGGGGGCGGCCCTGGCGGCCTTCTCCGCCACCCGCTCGCCACCGGGCTCTGCCTCCAGTGGGTCCCGGCCTGCTCGACCCATGCACCTTCCCCCACAGCTTCCGGAACCGCCACGCAGGGGCAGAGCCAGGGAGCCGCCCCTCCCCCCAGAATAGATGCATTTACTTTTCATCTGCACGAAGTCGAGCTGGTGGATGGACTGCAGCAAGGGGGCACTGTCCAGGTTGAGGTCGAAGTCCGTGGTCATCCTCGGGGAGAGGGTCCCTTTCCCCCACTGGTCCTCGGTCAGGTGGACTCGTCGTATCAGCGCGTCAGAAATCTGGACACAAAGGAGACCTGAGAATTGGCCTGGGCTGTGGCTTCTGCAGATGGGGAAATTTTTTGGGGGGGCCCTGGGGAGTCCAAACCCAAAGGCCCTTTTGCGGGAGATGCCGGCCACCTTCTGACTTCACCATCCCCAGCTGGTCGAATTATGTGGGTCAGGGAGGGAGAAGACGGCGATGGCAAAGATCAAAGCATCAAAGAAAATCCGGCTAAAGATGCGATAGATGCAGCTAGTTTACTATTTGTGCACAAAGCCCAGTCATCTCGAAGAATTTTGCAGTACCATGTGTGGTGGGGAGAACAAAGAAATAATTTATTCCACGGAAAGTGGAAGAAAAACAAGACAGGGCTGACGGACTTGAGCTTAAAGCAGCCTTGCCCAACTCGATGGACTCCAGATGCTTTGGACTTCCGCTCTCATCATTCCCAGCCTGCTGGCCCTTGCAGTCTGACATATCTGGGGACAAGGCTGTCCCCCGTGAGGCATCCAGGCTTTGCACGTGACAGGACAACTGGTGGTCCCTCGACCAGTGGCTGATGGAGGCCCACGTGGTCTCCTGTGATCAGCAGAAGCTCTCGTGGGACTCGGGCCAAGGTGCTGTGCAAGGTCTTTGCAAGCGAAAGGCACGAGACTGAAATGGGGTCTTCCACCGGCACCGTATGTCCACTCAGCCACTGAGCTCTGGGCCTTTCCTAATGGAAGGCTGGAGTTTTAAAAGAACACGATCCGAGGGTGTTATTTTCTCAAATGGACACGCAGCCACACAGCCAGTGTTCCCCAGTGCTTTCTATGGACTGGAAAAACCACGCACGGGCTTGCAACATCCCCAGCTGTAGAAAAATACAGTGAATTAAAAAAAACCCCAGTAAAAATGTAAATTTCCCCCCATAGAGGAAAGCAGGAAAATATGTCTTGCAGGGAGGAGATCTGTGCATTTTAGGAAGAGCAAATCTTCACAAGAGCAATTTATAAAAGGGCCACGAATAGCCATTTGGGAAATAAAACAAATCTTATTCTTGTAATGAATGGAAGATAGAAGAAAAGGAGTCTGACTGTCTGCAAAATGCAGACAGAACAAAATTGCGGGTCGCTGCTCTTATGAGGCGGGCCAGAACAAGCCCTGTTGAGAAAGCACACCCATTCACGAAGCAAGTCTCCTCGTGAGTAAAGGACTCCTAACAGGGCCCTCCTGTCCTGGGGAGGACCACTCAGTCCTGTGGCCGTGTCCCGAGCAGGGCCGGGGAAGCCCCCACTCAGGCTCCTCAGGCCGGAGCTGCGACAGCGCCTTCATTTAGGTTCCCCGCAGCTTGTGAGGCCGCCTGCCGAAGTCCTGGCTCACCTCGGACTGATCTCTTGTGCTGCTGACCCCGGGGCTCCTGCTCAGGCCAGCATCTTGGATCGCCTGATTTGGCCCGCTTTCCCGATGGGTGATGGAAGTGGCACTTCTGGCGGCTGACGGGTGTGAGCCAGCCACAGTGGGGCAGGGGGCCCCATGGAGGGTTGGCGTCCGAGGAGTCTGGGCTGGATGGCTTCTCCCTCCACCCAGACCGGCCCCAACTAGCGGCCACCCCAAGCGGCTTCAAGAGGAAAGCCAAGACAGGGGCATGGACTGGGTCCATGGCAGCGTGGCCTCACGTCAAGCAAGCCCCCCTGGCCCACGCGGTGCTGAGCAAGGGAGGCCCACCCTTCCCCCGGGGAAAGGAGGAAACGAGCGACCTGCAGGAACCCGCTGGGGTCGTTCTCCTTGATGACCTCCAGACAGTACTCCATCAGCCCCGTCGTCTGGCGCAGCTTCACCGTGCAGTGGGAGATCTGGTCTCGCACCACCTGCCGAGGGAGACACAAGCGGAGAAGCCCTTCAGAGCCGGCAGGGCGGGGATCTCTCCGGAGTTCAAGCGGGGAAAGGAAGCGTATGCCCGGGGATCGCTGGTGCGGTTGGCAGGGTCTGCGGTCCACGCAGGTTCATTGCACGGGGCCAGGGCTACAAGCAATGCAGGGGCCTGGTCGCTCCTGGCCCCCGAGCTGAGACGGGGCTGGATCCAGAAATGATGTAGACCCTCTGAAACCAGGAACAGCCAGTGTGGCCCAGTATTAGAGCCCTGGACTGCGGCTCAGGAGGTCCAGTTCTCGTCCTGCTTGGCCATGAGGCTCACGGCTGGCTGCTCTGAGCTTCTTGCAAGAAGGGGGGAAAAGGCAGGCTATAAACGGAACAGTAAATAAATAAACAGATACGGAATTTAGTCACGACTAACTTAGGTCATGTGGCGTCCAGTGGATCTACTCTAAGCTTTTTTTTTATAAGTTTTATTCAAAATAGCCCTAAAACAAAGGAAAACTAAAAACAATATCAATCATCAGAAACTTGAGCTTGAAACATCTAAGCTTGAGCAGAAACAGAGAAACAGAAAAACAGAGTGAGTCAGAAGGGGCCTCCCAGGGCATCTAGTCTGACCCCCGGTTCCAGCCGGCTCCGCTCACGACATGCCCACCAGGTGCATGTCCAGCCTATCCTTGAACACCCTCAGCGATGGGGCCTCAACCACCTCCTGTGGAAGCCCATTCCATGACCTAGGGTCCTAACCGTCAGGAAGTGCTTCCTGGCATCCACCCTAAATCTTGGTTCCCTGAGCTTTGCTCCTTGGAGCGCGTCCTGCCTTCCTCTGCAGGGGGAAATGGTTATGACCCACCTCTGCGTGGCACCCCCTCCGGTACCCGCATGTCGCTCACAGGTCCCCTCGGAGTCTCCTCCTCTCAAAGCTGAAGAGACCCAGCTGCCTCAGTCTCTCCTCAATGGCTTCCCCTGCGAACCAGCCACCCTCCTAGTGGCCCTGCACTGCACCGATTCCAGCCTCAGGTCTGGACTTGCCTGGTCCCCAAGAGCTGGGGCGTTGTGCATTGTGGCCCTGGGATGCCCCATCTGGCCCCCCGACCCTCCCACACCTTCTCCCGCTGAAACACCTCCGACACGCCAAGACACGGAGGAGGAGAATTGCAGCATGGATGCGATCCAGCTGAAGCAAGGAGGACCCCTCCAACGTTCACAGGAGAGTCCAGGACCTGCTCGTCTCTTGCCGCTCCGGTGATCTCCTGTTTGGCAGATGCTTCCCCGGGCAGGTGGTGGGACCGTCCTGCGTTCCAGATAGGTGAAAGAGGGAGGCACCCCCTCGCCCCACAAGGTGCTGCTTCGGCCTCTCCAAGCCAGACTTCCCTGCTGCTTCAGCTTTGCCCCGCTCTAGCCAAAGAAGCCGACCGACTGGAAGCTGGCCAGAAGGTGCCGGGACGAGCTGTTCTCCCTTGGGGGGTGTGAAGGCACCACCTGGGCATGGGCTTGTTGGCTGGACCACTGGCCGGGCCACCTGCCTTCCGAATTGCCCACTGTCCCTGAGCTCCATTGCGACACTCACAACACCTTTCCTTTCCCACGAGGATATGCTGCTCCAGCAAAGAAGCTGGGGTGGTCCAGTCTGGGACGGCCAATTCGGGCCCCTTTGCTGCATGGAAGACCCATGTTAGATCGCGGATGAAACAGCCCAAGATAGATTGAAGACTGAGTCACCTGGACAGGTGCAGTGGGTGTTTGCGAGCTCGATTTCCCCAGCCTGGATGCCGAGGGGTGCTCTACCAACCTTACCGCGTTTAAACCAGAGCAACATCAAGCAATAGAGTAACGGTTGGCCAGAGTGGCCCACTCAGCCAGGGCTCAGCCATCTTGCCGGGTCCAAGAGAACCAACCTCCGTGGTGCAAAGCAGTTGCGACTCTCTGCCAAGCCAAAGGCCGGGCTGCCTCTGCGGCTGGGCAAGATTCGCACAGGTTGGGGCGTATGACTCCTCTATCTGCCTGTATCAACTATAGCCTCCTAGAACAAGGCAAAATGTTTTCCTGCCAATGGCAGATGGCAACGAGGGACCCCGGATAAGCTTCCAGGGCAACTCTGGGTTGTCCTGGAAGTCAGGTGCCATACACCATTTGTTTATCATAGAAACTTATTTATTTATTTATTTATTTATTTATTTATTTAGAAAATTTCTATGCCGCCCCATTTGCCGAAGCCTCGGGGTGGCTTACAAATAAATCAATTAAAATACAATAAATTAACAATATAAAACAAGTTAACAATATAAAATAAGTTGCCCTGGCCAAAAGATAAAATAAATAAATACTATTAACAGTTAAAATGACGCTTGAATAAAAAGGTCTTTGCCTGGCGCCGAAAAACAAATAATGACGGTGCCAGGCGGACCTCTCTGGGGAGCGCATTCCATAACTTAGGTGCCACCGCAGAGAAGGCCCTCCTCCGGGTACTCACCCTCCTAATTTCCTTCACAGAGGGTTCCTGGAGAAGGGCCTCTCCCGCTGATCTCAAGGGGCGGGCGGGCACATATGAAACATAGAAACAGAGTGAGTCTGACCCCTGGCTCCTGCCGGCTCCACTCGTGACATGCCTGTCATAGATTTGACCGGCACGCAAGATGGCATGTGATACTTGCCATCTTTGACAATGAGGAGCTCATGATTTTCATATCCGAAGCCAGTGCAAGTCAACATCATCAATGAGTTACCATCAGATCATAAAGCAGTCGAGTTTTGTAAACTTTTCGTTCAAGAACTGAATGGGCAAAGGGTAACTCCAGTGAATATTTGGCCAAATCCAGTTCAGTCGGAAACTCAGCTTCTGGCCCTACATTTTCCACTGATTCTCCAGTTGGCTGTTCCAAAGGCCCTTTGCTGAACCAGACTGAGCCGCCTCGTCTCCGACTCATGGAAAGCCCACTGTGAAACCAGTGCCCCAGAGAAGGGCAGCCAAAGCCCTGGGCGCTTGACTCCGGCTTCCGTTGTTACGTCTCTCCAGGAATGCTCTTCTAGGAGGCGAGAGCGTTGCTGGAATGCAAGATCGTGAATATGGGGCTGGGAGAGAAACATCTTTTATCTCCTTATCTTCTTTACGGCTTAAGCCGAAGTTCCGGCTTTCTCCAGAAATCCCCTGTTGACGCTTTCAGAATATTATCGAAGGAGGCACCATCTGCTGTGCAGTGCCCCATCTGTGCGAGCCACCGAGCGCAGGCCGGCTTTCTCGCAGGTGCGCTCCGGAAGAGGCTTCGAGGGCACAGAGAGCCGATCCACGTTGTGACCCATCTTAAAGGCCCCTTTGCACACAGAGGCGCCCTTTCCTGGCTGTGCGGGAGACCAGGGAATGGCTCGGCTGTGCCAGGACTGATTCATGGCCCCTGCTCCTCCAACTCTGCCACCCTCAGCCGTCCAGAGGGCCTCTGAGCATGCGCAAAGTGCTTTCTAAATCTCAGAGAATCATAGACTCCTAGAATAGTAGAGCTGGAGGGGCCAAGAAGGCCATTAGCTCCAACCCCCTGCTGTTGCAGCTTCTTAGGGCTAGGATCAGAGAAGGCGCTTTCACCTTAATTTCAGTGAGGAATTGCAGAGAAAGTACAGACAAAACTGCTGGTTTTGGTTTCTGGTTGCATGTCATGAGCGGAGCCAGCTGGTGCCGGAGGTCAGACTAGATGGCCCGGGAGACCCCTTCTGACTTGCTCTGTTTCTATGTTTCTGTGTTGCCTCAAATTTTGAGAATTTGTTTCTATGTTTGTATTTATTATTTCATTTGTGTTTATTTATTTATATATTTATTTAGCGTTTTCATATGCCATCCAATCCTAAATGTCTCTGGACAGCTTACAAAAAACAAGAAACAAAAAACAGAACAACCACATACAACAAGCAAAACACAACACGCCGCATCTGAGAAACAATGATAATATCAGTGATAAAACTGATTAACTGTTAAAATGTTGGGAAAATAAAAAGCACTCTTAAGCACTTTTGTCCACTTTTCTCCAAATGAATGCATAACAATAAGCGTTTTTGTCTTCCCTGCGTCCATGTATGGCCTGTTCTGTGCGAGGCAGGGTCCCTTTGCTATTATAAGTGTATAAGCACTGTATGCTCAGGACCCCCGTAGCAGCCAAAACATCAGGCAGCAGCAGAAATGTGAGAATCCAGCATTTTTCTCTCACCAACCAGAGTGTCTTTACACGAATGCATGGGCTTTTCCCCCCCAAACAAATTCCAAAACCTCCAAGCAACTGCAGATCATTCTTCTCTGCCACAAGGTCAAATATCAGACTGTGACCAATTACCTTTAATTTCCTTTGAGTAAGTTTGTGGAGTGTTTTAATTGTCTTGAAAGGATTGTCTGTGTGATCTGAAGTCTGTCCTCTTTTCCATCACAGCTCTGGCTCTGTGGCAAGAGGTACACTACAACTCCCATCAGCCCCAGCCAGCATAGCCAATGGTGCTGGAAATATTTTTATTTCAGTGGAGGTAATCGCCAGTAAGCAATGGCACAGTGATAAACTTTGAAGTGCCCCAAGGAAAATCCAAAAATCCAGGCATTGGAGTTGGCTGGTACCCGCAAACCGATGTTCCCTTCTAGGAGCACAGTATTTAAATAGGATGTAGTGTGCCATGTATGGAATTAAGATTAATATCCTCAGTTGCATTTTATTTTGTTATTGTAGTTGTGGATTGTTTATATTTATTGTTTATTTCCATTATATTGTAAGATGTCCTGAGACAATTGGTTTGTATAGGACTGGATAAAAAGGTTCTAAATAAGTATTAAATAAATAAATAAGTTCTGTTAAGATGAGGTAGGGTATGCTTTTATTGTCTTTTTGTCATTTGATTTTTGTGGGTTTTATAGTTCTTTTTACATGGTTTTACTGTTGTAACCTGCACATAGCTAATGGAGCAGACTAGAAATCAATCAATTGATCGATCGATCGATCAGTCAATCAAACTCTTTTGTAAGGCT